TGGCTTAGGATACCTAGAAGAACTTAATGATTATCAGCAGGCTCTCCAGGAGCATTTGAGAGTCTGGTTTGACACACCCCTCCCCCAGTAATTTTGGCTTGACCTCTCGTAACAGCTTGCCAACCATTGTAGTTGTTCTGTGTAAAATGGTTAATAAGTGAGTAAGTGGAACTGCTGAAATAATCAAGTCACAGCCTCATAGTTTTGTCATGTTTTTAGCATGTTTTTAGCATGTTGAAGGGGTTTCGGTTTGAAGGAGTGTGATGTCTGCATCTTAATTATAGATGCTTCAGCTGAATAAATTACACATCCATCTATATGCACAAAACTTCACTTAGAGTGCAGCAAATACAGCGAAGTGTTTATAATTAGTGAATCAAAATAAGAAGAGAATTTGTTTAATACTTCTCAAGGTTTGAAAACTTATTAGATAAAAAAGGAACTCCTATAAACCTGAACATAAGCTACTTTGATTATGTTGGGTGAAGAAGGAAAATGTGACCATAAAAAAAGCAGAATATGAGAGAAAAGGGATCTGAAAGCCCAAGAAGAAATGAAAGGGAGAGATTCATGCTGTTGACCAGGGACAGACATACACCTTGAGAAAAATTGTTCAGATCATTCATCCAGCGGCCTTGCTGTTCCTTTAGGAGTAATGACCCTATATGCAAGAGTTCTTACTGCAAGCCCTTCAGCCAGGCCAGTGGAAATGCTGCCTAGAATACTGTCAGGGAGTTATTTGTTTGTATTCCCATTCTGCACCCTGCAGGCCACAGCATGACCCAGAGATGCTCGCCAAGTTTAAATTGTGTTGTGTAGCCAAATAGCAGGGGAAAGGCACCCTGAAAGGTGCTTGTGCACTCAAGATTTACCTGGAGCCCCGGCTGCTTGGTCAAGTGAAGCCAACAGCTTGAAATGTGTGGCAGCCAGGACTGGCCCGACCTTGATCTTCCTTAGACTGGCTATTAATCCCCAACTTGAGCTGGCTCTGGGAAGCAATGTGTAATGGATTGCATGCCGGGCACAGACATTGGCTTGCAGTATTTTCTGAATAACTTCTCAAGGACGTCTGTGAAGGTTGTAGTGTGCACAGGCGGATGAGTTTCCTGGCCTTCACATTCCTGCCTGGTGAGAGCTTGAGCAGAAGCAATTTTGCCGACATTGTTTTCACTCTTGGGAGAAAGCAGAGTCTTTCAGTCTCATGCCTTTTCTGAGGGGTTACTTTGAATGTCATCAAATTTTCCTTGTCAGCAGTGTGACCCCATCTCCTCTTCAGAACACAATTGTTGGCCCCATTCCTGTTCTTCCTCTTATTTTACTGTTTCATCCTTACTTTACTGGTTAAAAATGTCATGAAATAGCATTTGTTGCTACTGCTAGTAAAGACTTTAATGTGAAGGGTCCATACCCCTCCACCCCGTAAAACTATTTTAGGACACTTTAAAAGTGCCACAGATCTTGTGGTCTGAATATCATGCCAGTTACTGTAGTACAGATAAGTCTGTGTAATAAATGATTCCATGTTACATTGATGACTGGCACTACCTTTAGAGTCTCTTTTATGCAATCATTCTGTTGACTAATGGCAACATGATTTTCATAGACTTGAATATCTCGCTCATCAAGTTATTAGAACTTCAAAGAGATATGAGAAAGAACAGCTACATGTGTTTGCTGTTGTACATTGTGATGCTCCAAATATAGGATTGCAGATCCCTTTCTCACATGCAGGTCTCATTTCCTCTGGATATATTCCCAGACGTGGGATAGCTTGATCACATGACAGATAAATTTTCAATTCTCTTAGCACTTTCCATGCTGATTTCCACAAAGGTTGTACTAGCTACTCTCTTACTAAAAGTGAAGTAGGGCACCTTTCTCCCCACATCCTTTCTAGCAGGTGTTGTTAGTAGAATTCTGCATGTGGGCCAGTCTCACTGAATTAGTTGGAACCGAAATGTCGTTTTCAAATGCCTTGTAGTCATTTGAATTTGTTCTTTTGAAAAAAACAGTCTGTTTATTTTCTCGCCCATTTCTTCTTCACAGAGTTGTTTTGCTCATCAAAAGAGGAGTAGATAAAGTAACTGTAGCACATCAACTCTGCAATATGACTCAGCCATTACAAAGAATGAAATTCTACCACTTGCAAATGGTCCCATACAGAATGCTCAGTGAAATAAGTCAATCCCAAAAGGACAAATATCATGTGTTCTCCCTGATATAAAGCAGCTTTCATGCAATTACACAATCGGTAGCACTGTTAATACTGTTTTTTTTCCTTGCTACATCACAGAAGCTTTAATAATTTTGTTTTTATTTTCATTCACTCAAAAAGTTTTCTTATTCATTTCCTCATTGCCTCATAGTTCACACAGTAGCATCATTTGCCTCAAGAAGATTTTTAATTTCCTTTTTCATTTCTTCAGTAACACCATGATCATTCAGTAGCATCTTACTTAACTTCATGTTATAATTTTTAAAAAAAAATTTTTGTTCATGTTCGTGACCTTGTTTTATGGCTTCTCTATTGGAGGGATATATAGTGACTGTGCAATAGAGACTATCATATTCGGGTTATAAAAGTACAATGCAAGGTACATCTCTACTTCCCAATCGAAGATGGACTCCCAATGAAACTGTTAAATATATCTTGACCATAGGATGCTGGACTCTACCGTTGTCCGTATCTACAATGTGTGGATACACTTAAATAGCAGAATGATAGACGTATGACTGATTATGAAGGACTGAACTATTGTAATGTTTTAGGGGGATGGAGATTTGGAAAAGGGGGAAAGAAAATCCCAGAGCCTATGGAACTGCATCATAAAATAATAAGATAAATACATTTAACATTTTAAAATATGTTAATGACTCATAGATCATACAGTAGCATCATTTCCTTCAAGAAGGTCCTTGATTTTCTTTTAATGTGTCTTCAGTGACACATTAGTCATTCAGTAGCATGTTATTTAACTTCATGGTGGTGTTAATTTCTTTTTTCTCCCTATTGATTTTGTTTTGTGGCTTTTCATTTAAGGGGACATACAGTAACTGTGAAATGGAGACTAACATATCTAGATGTGAGGATAAAATGTAGTATACATCTCTACTTCCAGACTAAAGATGGACTTTCAATGAAACTTTTTACTATATGACATGGACTCTCAGGATGATGGACTCTCAGCCATTATCCATGCCCACCATGATGGACATATGACTGTGTGTGAAGAATTATACTTTAGTAATGATACGGGGGAACTCAGTGGAGGGAAATTGGGGAGGGCATAAAGGAAATCCCAGGGGCCTGTGGAACTGTATCATAGAATGATGATAATAATATGATAGTAATAATACATAATAAACAATTTTGATAAAATAAAAATATTGTTAAAAGTAGTTCTGCATCAACATATTTGCTCCTGTTTTCACACTGGAAGCTTAATGTTAATCTCTATAGAATAATGATTATGGTGATGTTATATTGCGAATATAGGATAGAATTATAAACCTGGAGATCTTCATTGTGTTTCACATTTTACAATGTATTGTCACATGCCAATGTTGGTAAAGGCAACTACATTAATGACAGCCCATTATGTTTATAGAGGCCTTCCTGTTTTGAAAATGTTTTACTTATTTGAAAGGCAGAGCAAACAGACAAGCGAGAGAACAAGAGCAAGGTTGATTTCCTGTCTACTGGTTCATTCCCCAAATCCCAGCAGTGGCAATAGCTAGGTCAGGCTAAGATAAGAATCCAGGAACTCGGACTTGCACGCAGGGAATCAAATTCTTGAACCATCATCAGTGCCCTCGCAAGAGGCTTAATATCCGGAAAATGAATTGGTAGCAGGACACAGGCCAGCCCCTCTAGAATGGGATGTGTGCATCCCAAGTGGCGGCTCAGCCAGCTGTGCTGCAAGGCCCTCCTCTCGTCAGCGGCATTTGTGTATTCGTGAAGGAGATGGAGATACGTGAGACTTTGGAATCCCTTGTTGCTTTATCGTAATGTGTGTGGTAATTTTTTCATACATACAAAAGCATTTTGGAGGTTGAAAGTTTTCATTCATGATGTTAATAGTAATAATAAAATAAAATAAATTTTAAAGGCTTATCTGTGACTCACTCAGCACCAGCGTGGTGATAATTAAAGGAAGCAGCCATTGGGTAGTTTTAGAAGTAAGAACGCTTAGGAACATGGTTATCTCCTTACTCCTCTACATGCATGGAAAGCATTGAAAAGACTTTTCTGACTAACGGAGGAAGCCTGCCCCGTGTGGAAGCGTCTGAGAAAGTGATCACAGGCGTTTCTGGGGTTGTTTCTGTTGTTGTTCATGGTTTACCCATGAACGTGCATCATTGGAATGGCTTCTGGGTGGTGATGGAGAATATCGGTGCAATCAAAGCCTCCATGTTTACCTGTGGCTGCTGGGTCTGCTAAGCTGCCAGGGCTCAGGCCTCTTGTTTTTATCCCATGTGGGATTGCACATTAAGAAGCCTTTGCTGGAAACCCAGCAAACTGACCGTGTCACTCAGAGTATGAGAAACGGGCTGGTTTGTCTCTGTCGGTGGCGTGTTATGGGGTGTCTGGAGTCTTCAAGGCTGAAACAGAGGGTGAAATAGGCTTCAGGAGCAGTGGTCTCTCCGTTTGCCATAGGCACTCAACATTAAAACCCCCTTTTCAAACTTCACCAGCAAATGGCACTTAATTTTGCTGTGTTGCAAATGCACTTGGCTCACTCACTTGGCAGCACTTTGCTTACTTGGCTGAGTAACTTACAGGGCTGTTAGCATGAAAAAGAAAACATGCTCACTCGCTTGGGCATAAAACTGGGTTATTTCATTGAACTGTTGTATTCTCCCTGGAATATTTATTCCACTAATGTTTCAAAATGTTCCTGAGGGGTGAGATTTGAAATTTGCCTCTAACAAGCCTTGAGTTTCTTGTCTGCTTAGACTCTGGATTGATTAGTTTTGTTTCTGCTTTTTCGTCCCTGCAGGCAGACCTACCTACAACAGCTTCTACGTTTACTGCAAGGGCCCCTGTCAGAGAGTACAGCCAGGAAAACTCAGGGTCCAGTGCGGCACCTGCAGGCAAGCCACGCTCACCTTGGCTCAGGTAAGGAGACACTTCCTCAGCGTGAAACCACAAAGCAAAAGCCATGTGGGCCAACAGAGCTGCCTTTTTGTGTTACTGATCCTCTTCATCTGGAAGAGAAAACTTAAAGCAGTCTTTCCTGGGGTTGTGACTGTGATGGTTAATGACAGTAGATGTTTGGTTTGTAAACAGGTCTTTGTGGTGTAGATGTCTTTCTGCTCTCAAAGTTTAGGCAGCTCAGGGACACCCTCATGTTACTTCAACCCAGGTCATTTGAAGGCAGGTATGGTGATTGTTTCTATGGCAGAAAGAGATTTGGCTTTGTTTGGGGTGTCATTCAGAAGGCAATGTGAGGGAACTTCTTAAGCTATTGGAAAATATTTCACATATTGCTCTGCTCTGTGGAATGCTGACATGGCTGTGTGTGTATGCACATTATGTCAGAATTCACTGGACTGTTTAACATCGCTGCACTCAAGGCTACTGAATGAGTCATACTTCAGTAGAAGGTGATTGACAGGATCTGCACAGAACAGGAGCAGAGCCTATTGCTTGGCTTTCCCTTGTTAAATTGTTGGGGGAAAGCAAAAGTTGGATGACACTGGATGAGCCAAGCACCTTGTATAAGATTTGGGATCCAAGTGTTCGTGAACAGTCTTATTGGAGAGCCCCTGAATGCATCTGTGTGGTCAGGGCAGAGTGAAAGGTCATGATGCCAGCCTGCAGCGTTCATTCTCTGGCTCTTTAGAGAAGAGGTCATCTAACACCAACAGGAAGCATGAGACGGCGAGTGCACAACTGTGTGCCTTAGCCGTGCAACATGGGGCACGTGGCATGTGCTAATACGAGGTAGTAGGGGATAGAGAGCATTGGGTCATCACAGCTCTGTGAGCACAATGAGAAGGCAAAGAAGACGAGGGGCTGTGGCAGGTAAGATCCTGGGTGTTGAGACTCCTCATTTAAAATACAGGCTATGGGGAGAAACAAAGGGAAAAGGAGAATTCAACCTGCAGCACGTGTCTGAACTAAGCCCAAGTAGCATGCTGCAGAGCTGCAATAGGATGTGAACAGGGTTTGCTCAGCAGCACCTGGCACACGGTAAGCATCCGGCAGGAGGCAGGGGCCATGGAACTGCTGTGCAGTATCAGCAAGCAAGTGAGCCCAGAGCCTGCCTGCCCCAGCTGAAGTCCGACCTCCTAGCTCTGTCCACTCGGGGTTGTCTGTCCTCTGGATTAATAATATCCTTCCTTTAGATGTCATGCAGACTCATTCACACATGAAGAGTACTTACCACTATAACCTGGACATACTTATGATATTAAGTGCTTTATTGCTATTTTTCAGTTATTCTTACTCATGTGCATACATATTCAATGGCAGTGTCTTCAAAAGCTTCATTAAAATGCCTAGTATTAGAACACTATGGACAGATTTCAATTTATTTGTTTTTTTCAAGATTTATTTAATTATTTAATTTTTATTGGTGAGTCAAATTTACGGAGAGGAGAGACAGAGAATAAGATCTTCCATCCACTGGTTCACACCCCAAGTGGCCACCATGGCCAGAGCTAAGCCCATCCAAAGCCAGGAACCAGGAGCTTCTTCTGGGTCTCCCACATGGGTGCAGGCTCCAAGGCTTTGGGCCATCTTCCATTGCATTCCCAGGCCACAAGCAGGGAGCTCGAAGGGAAGTTGAGTAGCTGGGAAATGAACTGGCACCCAACTGGGATTCCAGCACATGCAAGGTGGGACTTTAACCACTAGTAAATAGTAAGAGAAAATGAATTTCCATTCTCTGGTTCAGTTCCCAGATTCCCACAATAGTCCAAGATGGGCCATCTCAATGCCATTAGCTCAGAATTCAATGTAGATCTCCTGTGTGAGTGACAGGCAACCAAAAATATGAGCTATCACCTGCTGCCTTCCAGCATCTACAATTCAAATCGTCACTGTACTCGTGACAGTAGTGAGCTGCCTGACATAGGTAAGAGTCTCATTTAAATCATGTTTCACATTTAATTTGGAACTGGAGACAGAAGTGCAAGAAGGTGGCACCCATCCCCTTGCTGCTGCTAAGCATTGGAAAACTGAAATTTTGACCTCCCGTTGACGGTGAGTTAAGGATCAGCTTGGATATCGAGTTTTCTCTAAATCAAAATAACCTCTGTTTCATGGTGACCTTGACCAAGGAGTCAACTAAGTCATAATATCCCTAAAAAATGTGACATTCAGGGACTACTGTAGTGTAGCAGATTAAGCTCCCTGTGGTGCCGATAAGGACACCAGATCAAGTCCTAGCTGGCTCACTGCCAACCCGGTTCCCTGCTAATGTGCCTGGAAAATAGCAGAAAATGCCCTGGGTGCTCGCTTGGGAGGCCTGGGTGAAGTTCCTGGCTCCTGCTTTGAGCTCAGCCCACCCATGGTCATGGCAGGCATTGGAGCAGTGAACCAGTGGATTTTGAGATGTAGTATCTCTTCTGTCTGTCTGTCTCTCCCTCTCTCTATCTCTCTTCCTCTTCCTATTGTTTTATCTCTGCCTTTTAAATAAATAAATAAATAAAAATAGCCTTTAAAGGCAAATATTTAAAAAAATAGGAAGTCATACTTGAAAACAGTGTGCACCAGCTGATGGGAAAGTAGGCATTCCATCTTTAGCTGCCAGTTCAAATGTTGCACCCTGGGGTTCATGTAGAAATGAGACAGGCTTGAACCAAGTGGGGGGTTGCCGTGCCTGTGCTAATTTGCTTCTGCTCGATTGTGTTCCAAAACAGCACAACAGATGACTTTCCGGGATTTAATATAGCCTGCATCACTGTTTCTCTCCAAGATGTCCGCAGCCCCCCTGTGTGTACAGGAAGACGCTGTCATCCACAGGCGTCTCTCGGCGTCATAGGCCAGTGGGTGATAACGAGGGTGTGTCCCTGGAAGTCCTTCTTGGGTGACTCCCCTTCCTCTCTCCCCGGTCTGACAGTGTCCCTGGAAGTCCTTCTTGGGTGACTCCCCTTCTCTCTCCCCGGTCTGACAGTGCTCTTCCCTGCTGTTTCATGAGGTGTCTGTCACTTTCCACCAGCACTGCCTTGTCATTTGCTACATCCCAGAGGACCGGGGCCTCTTGCTGCCAGCAGATCCCCTGACATGTCTTTCCCGTAGGACTGAGCTAAAGATGTTGTTAGGATGTTGGCAGAGGATGACAGACCATGGGCTGCAATAAGCACTAGCAGCTAAAATGGGTGTGGAAGTGAGCGCAGGGCAGACAGCCATTCATCCTGCAGTACTTGCCAGGGGCCACAGCCCTCCAACCCTGAAGTTCTGGTTACAGCTGGAAAATTGTTCTTCCTTCCTGCACCAAGTCTGGGAAGCTCGAATTATCCACTGCTAACATCTTTTTGTTTGCACTCAGTTTATTATTCTTAAAATTAATCAGAAACCAGGAGATTAGTGCAGCCAAGAACTGGGATGATTTTTTTTTCCTTCTACAATCACTATAATTACTTTATCTCGAAAAGAACTTTATCTTGGCCACTCTAATGAGATACTCTCCGATGAAATAGCATTACAGCTGAAAGGTTTCTGATGAGAAATGGTGCAATAAATAGAATAAGATGTAAAGTGCCTGGCATGATGGATTTTGTTTAAAATTGGTTTATAGATTGGGGACAATTTATGTGAGAAAATTTATTAAGAAATATAGTATAAATGTATAATCATTCCTAAACTTAATATTTGTTACAGATTAATTGTTGGTCAGAAGCCTACTGGCTTCTCTTATTATTAAAGTCTACCCTCACATCTATGTAATTAATTGAAGTCTTGGAATGTATTTAAGCTTCCTTTCTGGTTTGAGAATGAAGAACTTTTTACCGGAATATGCATTATTCCCTTCATTCCCACTGCAGATTTAATTGTCAAGCATTTGGGAGCTTTTAGAATACTGTGGATGAGTTATGACAAGTTATTTTTCAAAATTATTTATATATGCATTATTTGAAGGGCAGAGAAAGAGAGGATAGAAGAAAGGAATGAAGGGAGGGAGTTAGAGAGCTTGCGTTTGAGAGTTCACTTCTCAGATGGCTGCAGCAGCCAGGATTGTTTCAGCCAGACCCCCGGAGATCAATCCAACATGGTTGACAGGGACTCGGCTCACACTACACCGCATCCCAACCCCTGTTCGCATGAAGTTTTATGGGCACAATCTGGATGGGATCTACATCCTTTCAGCTTTGTGTGATGACCGTGACCTGTACACAAGCCAGTCCATGAATTATTGTCACACCAAAGCTTCAGAGTTGACAGTGAGTGGAACAACACGGTGGTGTTGTCTTCTGACACAGAGCCATGCCACGTTCACTTCTCTCCTTTCTTTCCACCATCTGTTTTCCCTTGGCTTTGTAGATGGCTTCCTGCTGCCCCCTCCTCCTGCAGCTAACCCTCCTGGCTTTGTTCTCTCGTGCCCACTCGCTCTGCATGCTCATGGTAGTGCTGAGTAGCTAGGCTGGGGAAACTGACCTGTGCCCAATCTCCCTTTTACTGATACCAGTACTCAGAATGTAACCAATCTAAGATAAAACAAAGATAGAATCATAGTACCTTGAAACGTTAGCATGAAAAATTCTCAGATTTGCTTATTTGTTTTTGTCTTAATGTATTATTCTTGGTCATTTACATGTGTCTCACACACCCAGTGTAAGTTCTCGATGTAGAGGCAATTCAGATGCACTTCAGGGAATCGGTGCCAGGCAGCACAGGCGATTTAAGGTTGGAAGTTGCAAGAATTTCAGCAAATGCTTCCAGTACCATTTTCTTGAAGCTTGAAGTAGATTTGGATAATCAACGCCTTGCTTTCATCCATTCCTCCTGTATCATTCAACTTTAGCAGCCACCTTCAATGGCTTCAGATAACTGTCCCAATTCATTATTTTATTAATTTTACCAAATTTATTAATTCACCACAAACTTTTAGTGAATGATAAGATTCTGAAGCTTATATTTCAGTTTCATCAGATGTTGCAGTTTTTATTCCT